TGTTGGCTCCATTGAAGTTCCAAGGCCTGGGCATCCCACATCCGTTCGGCTCACAGGTTTCCAAGCATATCGAAACTCTCCTCCGTCATTCGACCAACAAGACAAAAACCGGAGCCTACCTGGAAGCTGCCTTGCAAGAACACCAGCTCGAAACGGGCACTTCGTTCGGTATCTTTCAGCAGGATTATTGCAACACTGCCGTCTTGGCTTCCGATACATGGATAAAGCGCGTATGGAAAGAACTTGAGACCATGGACATCTACGTGGCCTTTGACTCTCCGGTCATACCACTACGATGCGTCGGTGATGCTCTGCTTGTGGAAGTGTTTATGGATTTGGAGGTGAGCCAAGACGATCTGAAATGGCTCAACTGGTGTCGTATGTTCCTTCAAGTGTGCACCGTTTCCGATATTGTCACGGCTGATGGACGATGCATCCGGCAGTCGGCTTGGTGCGGCAAGCGTGATGGAATTCACCGGTCCCCATATCAATGGCCCCGGACCGGAATCACTGGCGTCTATGGCAGGACACCTTGACCCGGGCACTCCTGCAGTCGGACGACCCCTCGCACCATCTCCGCCAACCTTTGGGCCCTTGGTTTGACTCTATTGACGACTGGAATTGGCTGCTTTCTCCAACGCATGGCGTCTTTCATCGTCATGGACACGTTTGGAGACACTATGGTCACCAATTAGGTTCCTACTCCTCTAGCCGGCGGTTCCACATGAAGCCGGCATCTCACAGGACGTCTGGGATTAAAAGACCAATGGCGGCCCTTGAAGTCGCCGAAGCCCTCTCGCCGTCGGTTCCTTTTTGGACCAAGCCACTCCCAGATGATGTATGCCGAGTGACAACTCAGCCACTGCATGGGTTAGAGGAGATTGTGATCTCGGGGGTGGGCCTGGAGCACCAGCCTCCGCGCCCAGTTCCCCAACCGTCCTTATTCGCTGCATGGGAAGCAGCATCAGCAGAAGTTGACGAGTACTTTGGATGGACCCCCGAGGAACTTGAGATTGTGGGTGATGAAGGACGGCTGGTGGAGGCCTTACTGTCTGGCCACCTCTGCGTGATAAGCGACGGATCCTACAAGCGAGACCTGGGAACGGTGGCTGTACAACTACTCCCAAGAAAAGGGGAGACGGATCGCATCATTGTTCGGTGTCAGACTCCCGGATTGCCCCAGGACCAAAGCGCCTATCGGAGTGAACTGATCGGCCTGCTTGCAGGCATCATGGTTGTTGACTGGTTGCTCCACCAGTGGGCGCCTACGCTCCAATCTAAACCCCGCGTAAGGATCGCGTGCGATGGGTTTTCCGCTCTTCTCAATACCTTTAGCAATAATCGAGTTACCCCCCAACAGGCGCAGTTTGACCTGGTCTCTTCCCTCCGCGAGGCCCTTGCGCGCTCCAAAGCATCATGGGAGCCTAGTCACGTGTATGGTCACCTTGACCATGCTACGTCCTTTTCGTCCCTGTCTTGGTGGTCCAAAAGGAATGTTGAAGTGGATAATTGGGCAGTGGCATACCGCCATCAGTTGGAGGCTTCTGACCAACTGATTGCACCCAATGCTCGCTTCTTTACTGAGTTGGCCGCTCTCTATATCGGCGACGTTAAGCAGTCTCGATTGGACCCAGACTACATCCAAGAGCTGGTGGCGCTCCCCGCCCTACGCAAGAGGTGGCGCGAGAAACTCACGGTCACCCCAGAGGCGGAGTCGGAAACCGACTGGACCAGTCTGGCCCGGGCCATGCGATCTCTCCCTGTGGGCGTCCAACGCTGGACCACAAAGCACGTGGTGGGTATGTGCGGTGTCGGCAAGTTTAAGGTACGATGGGGTTATGACACATCTGCTGCATGCCCATGCTGTGGCGAGTTCGAAGATCACCTACACGTACCTCGATGTATGGCTCCATCCACCAGCGCTGAATGGGATCGCCGGACAGTGGCCCTGGATTTATGGCTGGACACCCAAGTGACAGATCCGGCCATCAAACATGCCCTCCTCTCCCTCCTTAAAGGGGTTCGCGATCCATCCCTACCGTCCATCCGAGTGGTACCAGGTCGACTGCGCAGCGCCTTCCGATCCCAGCAATGCATTGGCTACCAAGGGCTGTTGGAAGGAAGATTGTCCCGCCAATGGGCCCCGTTGCAGGAGGAATATCTGCAGTCGCGCGGGAGCCAACGCTCTCCGACCTTATGGGCCTCACGCCTCTCGCATCAGTTGATTTTGCTGGGCTTCCAGTTGTGAGAACATCGGAACTCGGTACAACACTCGGAGGACAATGTACAGTTACAAGAGCGCAGCCAACAGGTCAACGACGGGATACACAACCAGTTTGATATGGGTCCAACTGACCTACCTAAGGTTGTCCAACGCATGCTTTCGGTCAAGCGCCGGACAGTCTTGAACAAACCCCTGGTAGACCGTGAGGAATGGCTGAAGCTGGTGAGGATGGAACGCACGGCCTACCGCCGCGCTTTGGCGCCTCAACGCCGTATTCTCCATCGCTTCTTCCACCCTGCGGACCATTCCCCTTGAACAACGTTTCGTGGAAGCAACGCCCCAAAATCACCCCGCCACGCTGCGGGTAGAGTCCGAACCATCTGGTTCTGACTAGAGCAACTTCTGATTATCAGACGCCTCACATGGTTCAAACTCGATGTTGACTCGCCGCTCCACAGTACTTGACCTTTACAGCCGACCATTCCACCGGCAATCGTATGCGCTACCTAGCATTTAATCGATTAATGTTTCAGTTATTATTAAGCTATCCACCGCCCCACCAGCCAATCTGGACTCCTTCCACCCCCAATTCCGGCTCTGGTACGAGGCAATGAAGTGCCTTCACGATCCCAATGAGTCCCAGAGTATCCATTCCCACGCTCACATATTCAGCGCCGACACCATCCCTACCAATCGATTTCCAGACAGCGACCTAGGCACGCATCTGACATATTCCCCATCCACCGTCAGTGCATTTGCAGCTGCGATACCCACCTACAAAGCCCTCTTCAAAGAATTCAAACGGCACTCGGCCCCCTCTACTTTAGCATCTACTACTCATGTCACCACCCAAGAAGCTCCAGCAGCCCCACTTCCAGCAGGGGCCCCATTCGATAGCGAACTTTTTGCCCAGATCATGGCCAACGCTCTCAAAGGTGCCAATGCCAGCACCAAGGAAAAATATCTCGCCCGCACTTTGGCCAGTGCCAAAGATTCTTTCAGCTTGATTTTTGGCCAAGTCAAACCGGTCATCCAACTCGACGGATCCACTGTCAATGAATTCCACCCATCTGTACTCACTGACGACTTTACCACATTCTTGGAAATCGGTTCAATCAAAGAGGCCCTACGCCACCTCCATGATACTTTTGCCCACATCACCGATACCCTCACCACCCGGAACAACTACGACCGCAATGTCGACTTTGATATTGCCCTCTTCCAACACGCTACAGTCACTGCCCTCAAAACATGCAGCTTTGGAGTTCGACCCCTAACCATGCACCCCCACGAAGCAACCTCACTTCTAAGCCTCCTCGCTTGGCTCCCTCCGAAAAAAAATGATGTCAGGTACACCACTTTCCTTTCGGAAGGTCGCGACATAATTCGCCAGGAAGCCATGGAAGAAGACAAGTCCAAGCAAGCCGCGAAAAAGACAGACATTTTTGTTCATGGCGACGTCGGATCTGTCAAAGCTCTGATCAAGATGTTAGCAAATTTCTTTGCCTTTTGTCAAATACTGTGTCAAAGACTTTACCTTCAATGACCCCCGTTAATCGTCACACTCTTGGAGGATTTCATGAACGCCCTCCACACACCTGCTGCCAAAGATTGGATCGGTTACAATGCCGCAGTCCCCCACCTCCCATTGTGTCTCCTCCTCAAAATGAACCAGATCTTGCAGATTGTTGTGGGAGCCGCAAAAAGGAAAACCACCCAGAGTAAACTTCGCAATGGCCAACCGATCATGGCAGACACTTTCGTGAACGTCTTCAATGGAGTCACACAAGCCATCAGCCACATCAATCTCTCAATCAGTATGGGCAACCTTGGCCCGTACGGCACCTGCCCCAACCTGCATGCTATTCTCAATGGTAAACCAGCCCCCGCTCCCAAACGTGAGAGCCCCAATTCCTGTGAACGGCCTGACCCAATCAAACGCGCAAAACACCCACCTCAAGGATCTCATCCCGGATACCTGACGTATGAAGGCCCAGGCCAACTTCCAATTGCCCCCTTCAAATGTAAGCACCCCATCACTGGCAAACAGGCAGCCTTCTGTTCCCATTTCTTATTTGCCAATTACAACTGCAACCGCCCACGATGCCACAATACCCACTACACCAAACAGTTTGCGGCAACTATGGGATCTGCCGACACCCAAGCATTTGAAAAATTCATTGAAATAACCCCTGGGGTAACCCATTTGACCCCAAAGCCTCATGGTTAGCTCCACCAACTCAATTACTTAAATACCATTCAACCCGTCAGTGACTTACTTTCCATTTCCTTTCTGTACATTCCCCCCCACACCCCAATCCAAGTCCCTGAGTGCTCTACATGCATCATCCCTCGCCCAAGCAGTCTCGTTTACCAACCCTCCCAGCCACAAATGTCGACCCAACCCAAAGTGCCCCAAACTTCCATCTCCACTCCTACAACTAGTCAACCTTCCGCCGCGCCTTCAGCACACCACCGATTCACCCTACCTACCGATTCACAGTACTACCAATTCACTGACGCAGAGCAAGAAAAATTTGAAGAGCTCCTCCAGGTCTCCGTCCAAGGCCGTTCGTCTACCCCATCTATGACCAAACGCGACCAAGAGGCCTGGGCAATCCCCAATTTGTGTCACGTTTGAGTCCATTGAGTCGAATCTTCGATTCCAGTTTCCAAATCCGGTCCCTAATTCTAGTTACCAAGCTTACGATGCCAAACCTACATCACTTACTCACCTATGGAGGACTGGCATAATCTCGTTTGGTACAAATTCGTAGTATGCAATCATCCTAGGCCAATCACGTTAGACATCGAGTCATGAAGTGGAGGCGGCGCCTGGTAATCCGTTGGATTACGGTACCGCTCTAATCCATCTAAACGTACGAATGACGGACATTCTCTGGTCGTTTGTGCACCCTTTCTGGAACACCCGGCAAATGTTCAGACCGAGTATTTTCGGGACACTGATCGCAAAGTTTGACGTGCTCGTGCCCGGAGAAATAAAATTATATTTTTAGCTTCGAAAAATCTATGTTATTTCCCTTTAACTATTAATGACATATTATTATATGTGATGATTTATCAAATAGGGACTTATGGACACAGATGACCGATTGGTCATTGTGACTTTTTCTGAGTTATAACTCAGATCACAACGGAATCCTGAGTTATAACTCACGGCGTTGAGTTATAACTCAAACGTGTGAGTACGTGTGAGTTATAACTCAAACGTGTGAGTTATAACTCAAACGTGTGAGTTATAACTCAAACGTGTGAGTTATAACTCAAACGTGTGAGTTATAACTCAAACGTGTGAGTTATAACTCAAACGTACTCAGAAAATGTCAGGGGGATGATGTTCTCCAATGGGGGAAGGGCAGCTTCAAGAGAGATGCAACACAGCCTCCAAAGAAAACCACGAATAAGTAACGTGCTCGGCTTCGCCATGAAACTTTTAATCGTCGATTGAAGTGCTTTTTATTATTTTGGACGACAGGTTCAAATATTCGAGAGACAAACATCAAAAATGTGTCCTTGCAGTTGTTGGAACAGTCCAATTCAAAATGAATAACGGTCACCCTCTCTTTGAAATAGGATAATTTACCACATATCTAATACAATTTTATTACTACTTGCTAGTCCTCAGACATCGGCGATTCTTCCACCTGCTTCTTTGTTTCCTCCTCCTTTTCGGCCATTGCTACTTTCATACGTTGTTCATAGAGCAACAAGTTTTCTTTCTTTTTCTCTTTCTTTTCTTCCTTCTTCAATTTAGCCAGCTTCTTCATTCTTTTATCCTCCAGACAGTTGCGGTACTTTTGAAATCTAATTTCTTGTTGAATCCGCTCTCTGAATTTTCGTTTTTTGAATGGGTGGTATTCAACCCTAGTTTCTTGAAACTCCGATGCTGTGAGGCCAACATGATTTTTTTCTGTTTTGCCCTGGTCAAATAAAACTTGAGCTCGCCACGTGCGTTATGGGTGGTTGTTGGGTGCTTGGCCAGGTCATCAGCCAAAATCAAATCTTCCTGTAACGATTTGTCTCTTGCCTTGTTGTGAGCATTGCGCAAGGTCGTCCATGGCGATGTCAGAATTTTTAGTAGAAATAACATGTTGAGTGTAGTTTTTTTTCATTAGCAGAATCAAGCACAGCAACAAACGCAACAGCACGAGCGTCGTTCACCACGGCATCGTTTGGCCCTCCCTTGGCTTGAAGTTCCGTTGCCAGCTGCGTCTCCGTGTTTGCTGACATGTCAACTCCCCGTTCATCCAGCAAATCAACGTATTCTTTCCAACCAAAACCCTTTCTTCTGACCTTGTCGGTGAGGAAGCGGCTGAAAGTCTCTCTCCTTTCACCTCCTGCCTCGCCGTAGAACTCGTTTTTGTCCCAATGATGTTGCGTGACAAGTTCTTTTATAGGGTTTGGATCTGGAAAAGTACTGGACTGTATCTTTTGGTGAAAGTAGTCGTTGGTCCGCCAGCTCGAATTTCCAGCAACGGTTTTGGAAAAGGGGGAAGCTCGGCTCTGTGAGTAAAATCTCACACGTTTGAGTAAAAACTCACACGTTTGAGTGAAAACTCACACGTTTGAGTTATAACTCACACGTTTGAGTTATAACTCACACGTTTGAGTAAAAACTCACACGTTTGAGTTATAACTCACACGTTTGAGTAAAAACTCACACGTTTGAGTAAAAACTCACACGTTTGAGTTATAACTCACACGTTTGAGTTATAACTCACACGTTTGAGTAAAAACTCACACGTTTGAGTTATAACTCACACGTTTGAGTAAAAACTCACACGTTTGAGTTATAACTCACACGTTTGAGTTATAACTCAAACGTGTGAGTTCGAAAATAAAGTTGTTCTGTGAAAATGATATTGTTTAAAAACTGAAATATATTTAAGGCAGGGATCGCCAATTGAAAGACATCAGAATTCCCACAGTCGACCCCGCGCGGTACGGATTTTCGTCATTTGCCGGGTGTTCCTGATTCTCTACCGGTAGTACAGAGGGTGGGGGGTGGGCGCGTTCCACTTGTACAGTATCTCCCCGTGAGACACAACCACAACCACAACCACAACCACAAAAACAACAAAACCATCACACAATAATGTTTTCTTCCACGGGAAGTTTGAGAAACTCTGGGAGAATGCTAAGCGGGGGGATTCTTTGTGGCAGTGGGAGAGTAAAGGCAATTGCTCCATCACTGCAGTCGTTAGCTGGCCCTAGGCTATGTGTTCCAGTTTCCTCTTTCTCGGTCATGCCAAAGATCCCGGATGATTTGAAGCAATCAGGTTCGCTGCCGCAGATATTTTCAAGCGATGGTACAGAATATGGAATGTTACTGGACACCCGAAAGATGTCCAAACTGAAACCAAGCATCGTCCAAAAACGGCTGGCAGAATGCAAGACTTATGAAGGCAAGGAGAAATCCATCCGACAATCGCCCTGGAAACTAAACCGGGTATGCCAGTTAGCTGCAGGCCTCACGCTGGAAGAAGCTTTGACCCAACTAAAATTTTGCGATATCAAGAACGCTGACCTCGTCGCTAAAGTTTTGACTCGAACCAGTAATCTTGCAGATATCAAAGATGGATTGCAGATTTCACAGCTCGAAGTTGCAGAATGCTTTACAACTAAGTCAATGATGTTGAGACGAATCAAGCCCATGGGAAGGGGGAGGTAAGTTTCTTCGAGTCAGTGAATTCGTTGTTGTATGTACTACGTCGGCCTCATCTGGGTCAATACTGCAGACATGGTATTATGCACCATAAACATTCTCATATTCGGGTAGTCCTTCGCGAGATTGACTTTCCTTTGAGAATTCTTCAACAAAAGTCTTTGAATCAGAAGAAAAAATGGCTCTGGTACCAGCATCGTGCCGAAAACGACTACCAGGCTTCAAAGGCAAAGCGAGACGAGATGTTGCGACTTGTGGAACAACAAGAGAAGCAGGAATTAGAAAGGAGAGAAGGAGCTAAAGGTAGCACTTAAAACAAGAATAGGCTTGATGACACTAGTACCGAATAAGCTTGATGACACTAGTACCGGTATACACTTGGAACTCACATTTTTTATCGTTTAGCTCTACTTTAAAGGATTCTCGGAAAATGGGCGGATGCATAGGTTGTCGAAAGGATCAAATGTTCTTTTCAAAAACTAACTCCTGCATGGTGGCGCAATTTCACTAAGCTCCATCAACGGAGATGGAACAAGGTATCTGTATTTTGAATGATAGCACAAGTCTGCGTTCCAATAAACCTTGGAAACTGGGCAGATGCAAAAGATTTAACACCGAATCAATCCGCCAGTCAGGCCGGTCCACACGGTCAAAAATCGCGAACGTGAAACAGGAAATTACGTATGTAAAAACCTGTACCAACGTAGATTTCCTACCAACCTCTACAGACCACCTCTGTTTCGGGAATTTTGGAAACTGAAAATCTAGCCAATGCGGACCCTATGGTTGGTTGGATTTTGGGGTCCCAACCTACCAAAATTTGATCACACAAGAAAACTCCGATCCAAGGCATCATGGGCAATGCCCAACCCATGGCCCTCCAACACGGCTTATTAGCTGTAATAACCGGTCTACAAGAGATATTGACCCATTGTTGTACTTGAACTACCAAAGACATACCGGTAGGGAAAATGAGGAGTCAGAGCAAGATCATCTTGACGTACTGACCATTTGCGAGCTGATCGCTAAGCAGGAGATGGATCACCCAGACCGACTGCCAAGGTAGGAAAGAAAGAAACCAGAGCCCTTCAATGCCCACCCACACCTACAACATGACAGTAAACCAACACGACAGTAAACCGCCGCCGCCGCATTCTCTGTACTACTAGAGGTCAGTCATCCTGGGCGGTGGTCGGACAAGACTTTGATCCGTTTCGATGAACTCGCCAATCAACTCAAAAGGGGGAGCGGTATGAGGACCTCACTTTCATTCTTCTTGAAGCTGATGGCAATGGAGGTGTGAAAGAGGTCAAATACTCTGGTGCTTGGACCATCGTCGTTGACAATGGATATCTTTGGTTGTCAGTGTTAGTGCGTCCCATGAAACTGTGGACCACATACTCTGAGATGTGTTTCAGCGGGTGGCTGGAAAGTATGAGGAAAGATGTTGAGTGTACTTTTGGTATAATGAAAGGGCGCTTCCGCATCCTCAAGACAGGAATCCCCCTACAGGGCATTGGAGTTTGCGACAGAATATAGATAACTTGCTGTGCTCTCCACAACTTTTTGTTCAAAGAGGACGGGTCGGATCAATAGTCCAAACGAAAGATATATCGGATAGCGAGGCTAATAATAGGCTAAGTTGGCAACACCTCTTAAAGATAATAGTTAACAATACTTAAAGGGTAGTAGTTCCAGTGTCTGCGGTTGTTGCGACTTCTCCAGCCTTCATCATTCTCTCCATCTTGTTCATTTCACACTCAACATCTTCTAACTTCTCTTCCAACTCATCATATTTTGAGAAACGTAGAATCCTACAGTAAGCAGGATGAAAATACTATGGCGCCAACTTTTTGTTGATGATAGGCTGCAAATGAAAGGCATAGGTAGGCAACATTACATGTGAAATTTGATTGGTCCAATTGTCAGATAATCAACTCCGTAGCTGTAATGAGAGCCTCAACGCTCTAGCTACCTCTGGAGTAAATCTGAGCTAGAATCTACATCGGCTATGGATTGCCTACAATAGGAGCAGGTGCCAGTGATGCTGGGCTTCTACCTGCGGATGAACAGTCTCACCACTTCCTATTAGATCTTATTCTACTGCTATTCTTGCCAGAAGTCGATCAACAATGATCTCCACAAGCAGGTACAAAATATCTCTTCCGGAAGCCATCTGCGTCAGCTCTTACCAGCTGTCGCAGCTTATAAAGCACATGCGCACATGTTCTTCACAAACTAGTCACAGATCTGGATCCACCTTCAATACTTCTCTGTCTCTGTATGTATTCGAACCGCACTCCTGTCCGCGTTTGATACCACAAATGTCCAACTGTTCTTTTATTCATTAGAATCCCATTTCACCAACACACTCCTGTCGTTTCGACAACTTCAGTTGCGACAACAAATCCTTTCTTCATCTAATATGTAATGTGTATATATGACCAATGATGGCCATATTTAGTCTTCTTGATCTCCTTGGATCAATGCCCAAAACTTACAGAACTTTTTGCCCTGTAAAGGTTTCCTCATATAATCCCCCCACATGTCATCTGTAGGCATGTGTTCGATCGTTGGATTTCCTTTTTCAACCTGATTGGTGACAAAGAAGTAACGGATGTTCAATGCACGACTTCTCTTGCCAGCACTTGACCTTCAGTTCTTTTCGATGAGAATAGAGCTCATATTATCTTGATAGAAGATATTCTTCTCAATCGGGTAACCTTGTTCTTCCATGAACATGCGTGTCCACAATACTTATGTGATCGCATCATCTACCCCAATTAGTTCCCCATGCGTACTGCTGTGGCTATTCAGCTTCTGTTTCTTTGACATAGCCTGCATAGCTCCACCACCCATGGTCATCACTCCTCCTGTGTGACTCTTAAAGTCAGGGTGAACTGTGAAAGACGCATCAACAAACCACTTCATCACTCAAAGGTTGTCAGCGCTCAGCGTGAGATGCCACTTCTTGGTTGAGTGCATGTATCTCATAAGTCTTACGAGTTTATGCCAATCACTTTGATTTGGGTTTTGAACTCGTGACGTCAAAATTGCCACTGTCGGATGAATATCCAGACGCGTACGTTTGGTCAAAAACAAATGTTTTGCAACAAACCTGTGAAACTCAGTCTGTTGATCCTTGTCCAAAAGTTTCCCTTTTCCTACCTCCAGCAAATTGTTACCAGCAGGTGTTTCCTGTTTCTCGTCTTCCTTAAACTTAACAGAAAATTTGTCAAGCATTCTTTGGACATAATCGTCCATCCGAATTTTCAACTTCCCTTTCTTTGAATAATCCAATGTCATTCCAAGATAGGTATTATAATAATAAATCTGATGCATTAATCGTGTTCAAACTATCTGAAGCTTCTAGATTGCCGTTAACGGCTGTCATGGCCATTTACCATACGGAGGTGAGTCCAGTACTGTTGAACCAGTTTGAGGCATCCAATCCCAAGGAAGTTGCTCTATCACATATTACATTGCACCCTTGCACATGTAGAGAGACAATCTTGCCACTCGAGGCGGCGTATTTTTATTTTGTTTTCTGTGTTTTTTCTTTTGTTGTGCTTGCCTGTATTGAAGCTTGATTTAACCTTGTGTTCTTGCTCCCTTCTACCCTGAATATATCGATCCAAATGAATGGAGAGCGTCCCA